TCTACGAAGCTTCAGAATTTCTCCTTTTGTGTTCCACAGTGAAAAGAAATTCATATGGGTTTGGACTGGAACAACTTAAGAGGACATAAAAGACAGAAATTTAATTTTTTGGTGAACTGTTCCTTAAATCTCAGACTGACGAGCACTTCTCTGACAGATTGCATGTCATTTTGAAATGAAACAGACATCTGTGGAGATTGTCAAAGATAAGGGAAATACAAGGTCAGATTATTCAGTTAAGCTCTTTTATAAGCTCCTCACCTTCCCAGAAAGCACTCTGAGTGACACTGCCCATAGTGTTCTAGGGACTATTTTTTAGATATACAGCATTAGAGTAACCAAATTTTGATGAAAGTGCTGCCGAAAACTACACATAGGAGATTGTAACAATAGTCCCACTGAAGGCGAGCATGATGAACCCATGTGCAGCTTTAGCCTAATTAATAAACCAAAACAGAACAAACCAACAAACACATGAACTAAACTAGATCTTGACATGACCATGAACAAAACTCAGGTTACACAGTACAAAGCTAGACAAGACACAATGGCGACATGAGGGCCATATATATCAAATAAAAGGGGTCACATGACATAATCCAACCAATCAGAACAAGACACATGAACTAGAAAACCATTCAGAACATGACACATAGCACAAAGGAACCAATAGCAGGATCACATGAGGGCAAGGGAAACACATGACATAACAGGAACCATGACTATGATAAAAAAAACAAAAGACATGAAAACAATGAACATGAAACAAAACCTAAACAAATGTTATATATTCCCCCCTCTAAGGGTGGCACCTGCTGCCCTAGTGAAACACCCACCCTGAAACCAAACAAAAGAGTCCAGGAGGGTGGTGGAGTGGAGGTGGTCTAGGGGGTGAGGTGGAGGGCCAGGCCCGTGAAGCAGAAATGGACCATGGCATGGATTGTGGAGCAGTGGCAGGCCTGGACCGTGGAGTAGTCAGCAAGACCATGGGCCATGGAGCAAGGGTAGGTCTAGACGTGGAGCAGTGGGCAAGACCATGGGCTGTGAAGCAGTGCTGGACCTGGTCCGTGGAGCAATGGCAGGTCTGAAACATGGAGCAGAGGTGGGCCTGGACCGTGGAGCAATGAAGGAAACCATGGACTGTGGAGCAGAGGTGGGCCTGAACCGTGGAGTAGTGGCAGAGACCATGGTGAAGCCGGCAGAGCAGCAAGCCAGGGCGAAGCCGAAGACCACCAGGGCGGAGCAGGCGGGACCGAGGATCCCCACGGTGGAGCAGATGACCACCAGAGTGGAGCCAGCAGAGCAGGAAGCCAGAGTGGAGCAGGCAACCAAGGTGAAGCCTGCGGAGCAGAAGACCACCACAGGTCAGGAGGCCATGGTGGAGCAGTGACATGGACAGACCACCAGAGTAACCTTGAACAGTCTCAGTGGCAGTAACATGACAGGCAGAGAGTTCAAGAGCGGCCTCCATGGCGATGACAGGCAGAGTGTTCAAAGATGGCCTCCATGGCCGTGGCAGAACAGGCAGAGAGTTCAGGGATGGCCTCCTTGGCCATGACAGGACAGGCAGAGAGTTCAGGGAAGGTCTCCTTGGCCGTGACAGGACAGGCAGAGAGTTCAGGGAAGGCCTCCTTGGCCGTGACAGGGCTGACTGTGAGTTCAGAGATGGCCTCCCTGGCTGTGACAGGGCAGACTCCGAGTTCAGGGACAGCCTCTTTAGCCGTGACAGGACTGGCAGAGGGTTTATGTTTGACCACTGTGGTCAAAACAGGACAGGCAGGAAACTCACAGGTTGGCGCCAACACAGGACTGAGCTCAGGGGCTAGAGCAGGCTCTGGAACAGATTCATGGATAGGGGCAGGCTCTGGAGCAGACTCATGGACTGGAGCGCAGTGTACAGCCCAAACACACAAAATGGCAAGCGCCATCATGGGCAGTACAGCTGATGGAGGGAGGACCTCTGGGTTGGACAGCACTGAGGCCATGGAGTTTGAGTGCGTTGAGGCCACCGGGGTGCCAGCCGCTCATACCGACATAATTGGTGGATCCATTACACTGGCCATTTGTCTTATCTGTCTTGGCCCAAGCTCCGCATACGCAGGAGTTTGTGTCCTACAGTCCCCCAGAAAAAAAATTCTTAGGGGGAATTTCCATGGTGGCCGTGGCGTGACGGGTTCTGCCGTGGCGGCCATCTTGGCTGATGACTCAAGCGTGGCAGCCATGACGTGGTGAGGCCCTGGCTTGGCAAGCATGATGTGAGCAGCCCCTGGCATGGCAAGCATGACTTGCAAGCTTGGTGGGTACTGTGGGATTGCAGGGCTCCTCATCCGCACTTCCCACAGTAAATGATGAGCCACATAACAGCATGGCATAAACTACTGGGGGTGTGCACCCGACTTTGGAAGACAGCATTCACATCAACCAAACGTACCAAACTCTGATGTCAATAAAACCCATGTGCGCACCAAAAGTGCTAGTGTGAAAGCACCCTTTATTAATAAACCAAAATGTGATACAAAACATGAACTAAACTAGATCTTGACAAGACCATGAACAAAACTCACCAACAGCAGGTTACACAGTACAAAGCTAGACAAGACACAATGGCAACATGAGGGCTATATATATCAAATAAAAGGGGTCACATGACATAATCCAACCAATCAGAACAAGACACATGAACTAGAAAACCAATCAGAACATGACACATAGCACAAAGAAACCAATAGCAGGATCACATGAGGGCAAGGGAAACACATGACATGACAGGAACCATGACTATGATAAAAAAAAACAAAAATAAATAAAGACATATGAACACGAAACAATGAACACGAAACAAAACCCAAACCTACGTTACAGAGATATAAACTCCGTCTGCACCTATTTTCACACTTCCTCTGCAGCCAGAAGTACCACTTCATGATTACAAAAGATAACATGCCACTTACACATGATTGAATATAATCAGCATGGCTGATTCTTCAAAGTGAGCACAAGGCCGGTTCAAACACTCTAAACACACCACATCATTATCCCTTACATAGAGCACAATGTATTTGAACTCAAGGAGGAAACCATTTTCAAGCACCAATGTAATTACACCTCTGAATTAAACTACTTATCCACTAAATGTGCATTTATGTATTCTAAACATTTAGTTTAAGCTGCTGAGATTAGGAATACTCAGAGGTGCTCATTCATAGCTCAGGAGATTTTGAGTTCTCATTTATATTTCATTTAACTTTGTTTCAGATCTTTCTCCAAAATTCCATGGGAGAACTAAAATAAACACAAATGAGACACCTGTGGAGTGTGGACAAACGGTAAGAATATAGCGCCATAAAATGAATGTGGGGAGAATTAGCCAGACAATCCTGTGCTGAGGCAGTTTGATAAGAATTTTTTTTTTATTCCAGATTTTGCATGTCTAAGCAAATCTGAGTGATTTTTGTTTAGTTCTCTTCTGCAAACTGGAGATATGAGATTACTCTGGTCCGTTTCGCAGGAGAAGCAGGGGTCTTCGTTTGCTCTCCATTGGATCTCATTGGTGTCTCAGAGAAACAAATGAGATATTCAAGAGATCTTTTTATTTATTTATCTATAATATGGGTCAGTCAAAAGAGTTCTCCCACACAAATTCCTGAATGCACACCAGAAGGAAACTTCAAGTTAGACCTGATGAGAATCCAATGACATATTCATGAAAGAAATCTCGATCTCAATTAGGCCTGTCGCAATAATCAATATATCGACTTATCGCGCAATATATGTACATGACCTCAATCATTTTTGGTGACGCAATATATCGCCCATTATAAATTAATGTCACCATTCCACTTGCGCCTGTGTCTTTTGCAGCTTCTCGTACATAACGTGGTGTAGTTGGTGCTAGTTCAAATTTAAAAAATGCTTCTACAAAAAGAGTTTCATCTGCAGATATGGTCTTGTTTAGGGATCTGTGCCTTTGTGCATACGGACATCTGACTGCTAAGTAGTGATTGTGTTTTTCAGCAATAGTGTGCACCCTTCATTTACAGAGAAAAGAAGGTCAGGGAAAAATCTGTAGATGGAAAAGTCTCCATACGAGTTCTTTGTGCATTTTTATTTTTATCTACTTGTTACTTTTCACTTTTTGTTAGAAAATGTTTATTTACTGTTTATTCAGGGTTTTTTTAAGGTATCTAATATTTGATACTTAATTTCCATGATCTAAATATTCTTAAAAAATAAAAGTTTGTTGTCATTTGGAAGTGTGTAGGCCTTCTTGCATTATTATGCTGTTACATTATGATTATATATTCAGTGGCATAAAATGGTCTTTAAAATGACAATAATATCGCTTATCGCAATTATTTCTGGGGCAATATATCGCACAACAAAAAGTTGTTATCGTGACAAGCCTAATCTCAATATACATACAATCAGTTATATTGTGTTTGATGGTTTGCTAGATACAAATGTGTCATTTTTATTAGTTATGACATGCTAAAAAGATCTGTATATTGTCTTCTGACTTAACTATACAGCAATTGTTGTAACTTTTCATGAATCCTACACTCTGGCTATCATGGCATTATGTAATAAGTATGTAATAGCCTAGCAATATTTTTTAAATGCATGTGTACCAAATTAAACTTTGTACATATCTAATATCTATGTAGCTAAAAAGTACATATCTAATTCGCTACTGAAGATATACTCTATACAATTACAGACTAGCAGAATTAGAAAAGAAACCTAAAACCCTTTATTTTGGGCTTATAAGCTCTTAATAAGTCAAGTCAAGACACCTTTATTTGTATAGCGCTGTATACAATACTGGTTGTGTCAAAGCAGCAGTAAAGTCTAAATAACAGTAAAGCAAACATTTTTAACCAAGAAGGATTGCTTTTCCAACGCCACACTCTTGTAATTCGCCTTAAGGTGCTGCTAACGCCACATGTAAACGATGTTTGCAAACAATGAACCTGTTACACGGAGGGAACAACATTACTTACTTGAATCTCCCTTGGCAGTGTTGACATTGATCCCCAGCCCATCCGCGTTCACAGACGCAAGTTCCATTGATACATCTTCCAAAGATGCAGTTTTTATCACAGGTTTTAGAATAGGATCCTTCAGTGCACACTAACAGGTAAAACACCATAAAAGTGAACAGGTACGTCCTGAGCTCCTGAATCCTCCATAGGAAACACCTCGTGGAGAAGCGTGGAGACATTCTTCTTCTGCCAAAATCCATCCTCCTGATCTCCTCTGATCTAAGCATAGAGATGAGGTTACAGCCTTCATTAGACTTTAGCTTTTAAACTGTGAATTCTCCACTCCTCGTAGTTTTGTTACAATTTGTAGTTTGTTGTCATACAATGCATGAATTTATTAACGTTATATCCCATATGTAACGTAACTTTCTCCAGTCTGCTCCGAGTTCTCGAGGTAAAGCATCCACCGGCGCGTCATTCCCCAAAAAAGCCTTGTTGTCCAAAACCGCCTCATTTATATCATTCCAGAAATAGCGACATTTGAGATACAGATGTGCAGTTATTTTCGTAAACTGTGCCTCCACAGTCGCAAAAATAACAGCATGATTTCAGCATGACTTCTCAAACAATAAGCCGTGCTGATGTTGCCATTTCGCCTTTGTTTCTCTCAGAGATGCACTCGGAGGGGAATGACAGCGCAACACCCATCCAAAACAATGTGCAGTTCCCCGCTGCTGCTGCTGAGCTCAGAGCCGACGAATCTCACTACGGGAAAGGTTTGGCTTATGAATATTAAGTAGATTACGCTGACGTTGCTTGATAACTTTCCTGTAGCGTCCAATCGGTCACGTGACTCAATTAATATTCAAGAGCCAATCCTTTATCATAGTAGGATAGGAAACTCCTAGTCGTTTTACATTTAAACCAATAGCGCCCTATTAATTTGTGCAGAACACCGCGTCAAGCGGGTCATCATAAAAGTTGTGGTTTCGAGCATTACAGATATTTTTTGGGGAGGTACGGAAGCTTTAAGAGGCCATGCATTTTTTGGCTTGTTTTGTCAAAGTCACAACTTAAAGGGATATTCCACCCAAAAATGAAAATTCTGTCATAATTTACTCTCCTCATGTTGTTCCAAACTGTATGTTTTATTTCTTCTGCGGACTACAAGAAGATTTTGTCAATATTTTCATGATCTCAATATAAACGTTTTCTCTCTCTCTCTCTCTCTCTCTCTCTTTCACTTACGGTGCGAGGTTTGTTGTTGTTTGCTTTAGTGTTATGATGTGATTATTTGTTGGAGATGTTTCTCTGTTTTCTGTGTATTAAAGTTTTTTCAAAATTCAAATTCTCTCTCTCTCTCTCACTCTCTCTCTTTTCTTTTTATTTAGCCTATCTAGAGCAGTGTTATTTATTATTAGCAATGTGCTATGTAAGGGATAATGTACATCCAGCCGGTTGTTATCTCAGAATAAACCCCGACAGGGTGATCGCGGAGGGGTCTTGTACCAGCCTGAAGAGGTTTATTCTGAGATAACCACCGGCTGGATGTACATTATCCCCTTTATTACACGGCTACTTGCCACATAAGTAAATAATTAGACGCGAAATATTGATTTGAGTTGAAATATTTGAACGCAAAGCTTCTGTGAAGACAGCAGTTGCGAGCAAGTGGCAAATTCAAACTAGACGGACATTTAAAGGGAACGGTGCAGTCAAAACAC